TCATGCCCTGCTTGTTCTGCTCCCAAGGAGGCTTGGGTGGTTCTGCCCCTCCTTGCTTTATCCTCAACAACAGCCCTGTGAGGTAGGGCAGGCTTCGCGGTGCTGAGCAGCCAGAGGACCTCCGAAGGAGGTTTGTGTCTCTGGATGTTTTGATTTGAGGCGAACTGCTAAACTACTATTCCAAAGTTTGAGAATACAGTTCCGAGAATTCCTTAAATTGGGAAGTCGGTTTATGGGTTGTTGCCCACCAAACGACCTAAACGTGACCGTGAAGACCCCATGGACGGAGCACAGTTTGGAAACATGACTCTTTTGGGCCACTGAATTCTGGAAAGGAGCAGGTTGAAAACGACTGATTTCATTTGGGCAATACTGTATAGGGGACAGAATATTTTCTACTTATGTAGCCTGCCTCACAGGGTGGTTGTAGGGATAAAAAGGAATTATCATCATTATTATTATTATTATTAATGATTATACACTTTTACCAAGGTACAATATAAATCAGATAATTTATGAAGACTTGGCTATTCCATCATGCCTTGGGATAGGGGTGCTGGATGAGTAATTACTTTTAAATGTGTTTTTGGAATGTTTGGTTCCCAATATACATGGTCATTTTATGAAGTATAAACCTGGTTTTACTCTTTGATTAGCATGTATTTACTTTAGTTGGTTGGAGCAGCCTATGAGCCTTGTAAATAAAATAAGTCCCCATTTTAATCAATCTAGTCACACTATGTTTCTTGGAGGAAGAATTTATTGTAAGAACAACTAATATCAACTTTACTCTGTACTGTATATGTAGGTGCTCCCAATCCCCTAGTTGATCCTTGTAGAAGAAAATACGACTGATCATCCTCATTCTAAGAATAGGGTTCGAGTGCTCTTCCCTCAGTGAGGCTGTGATTTTTGCAGCCTTCAGATGTGGCTGTGCATAGGTACTCCTGCAACTTGTGATATCAGTTAACCAAACAAATGGAAATCCAAGAATTTTATTGTGTTCAGTTTAACAATGTTGAATTGTTTTCAGCAAGCCCTATAAACCTTGGATGACTTGGAGACTATATTTTCCAGCCCAAAGCCTTGTGATTGATTCCTTGTAGATGAGATTAAGGCTTGAAAGTCTGTGCTGACTCCTTCCTTTAAAAAAAAAAATACAGCTTCAGGTTCCCATCCCTGATTTCTGAATCGAGGCTTCAACATATTCCTTATGAAAAGACACAACTTTTGGTGCTTTTCTTTAACCCTTACATACCTTTGGAGTGACATTTGAGGAGTAAATATCTTTCTTGAAGATTTCACCTTCTAATAACAAACATCCTGGCATGTCTTTAGTTTCCCGGCTGCACTGTGAGAGTGAGTCCTTCAAAATGGATCTGATCCTCGATGTGAATGTACAGATCTATCCAGTTGATCTTGGTAAGCATGCACCTGGCAGTGTTTCTTGAGTTCCTATATCATTATAAAACATGTTTGGATGATGTTTTTCCCTGCAAAAAAATTCAGATCTGCACATAAAGATTTTGCTTATTACTGAAAGAACTGTTTCTAATAGCAGCCATCTAGAATTTTCTGGGTTTGCACAATGCATTGAATCATGAACAAATCAAACAGGCTTGGCTCAACACAACATGCTAAGTCACACTCAGAAAACCCTGATCAAACTTAGCATGTCTTTCACTGACTTAATAAGTGTTGTGCAAACTAATATATTCCAGTGTTTGTCCCCCAATATTTCTTGGTATGCTTACTTCAAGCCTTGTTCTGGTCATTCCTGTACAGTTTTTTCCAGTCTTGCACTTGGACCTCCTCCACATTTTATTATGGATCTTGCCGTTCTAGATTTGCACACTACTGTGCTACTTTTGGCAAGTTGGACTCACAGTCTTTCTATTTTTGTTGTTTCTTTTGCATTTTGTATTTCACTTCTAATGTTCATTCTTCCTTGCATTTCAGGAGACAAATTCCGCCTTGTGATTGCCAGCACTTTGTACGAAGATGGGACCTTGGATGATGGCGAATATAATCCTACAGATGATAGACCCTCCAGGTAACAAAAAGGCTTTTCTGCAGAGCTAGGGTGGGCGCCAATATAAAGAAAATGCAGCTATTTTTCTTGTCACAGATCTGATTGTTCGGTCTCCTCATCGAAGTTTTGAGTTGAGTTTTCAGAGCTGGTGGAGAAATAGCGAGGGACCTGTTTTTCCTCCAGCTGCAGAGCTGTACATATCAGCATTTCTTACCACAGGCCACATAATCTGGGTGCTAAAAATTGGAATTCAGCTACATGAGGAGAGTTGGTTCCCCTGCTTTTAATAGAGAACAGCAAAAAAAAAAAAAAAAATTGAATAATCAGTGCTTTGAATGAGTGATTGCTTTTTTGGGTGGGGGGGTTAGGCTTGCAAGCAGAGATTAGAAAACTGGCTTTTGGGGAGGGTATTGCTTCATGAGCAACTGGATGAGCCATAATTATTTTAAGAGTAAACACACCACCCTCACTGGCTATAATGTTCATTTGTGCCTTGCCTACAAGGCATTGCCCAAACCTTGCATTTTGTAACATTCTTCTGGCATTTCCTTGGTTATCAACTTCTCCTGAACTGTAGAGCAGGAGCTAAAAATGCTGGTGCTGTTTGCCTTGCCAGGTTTGCAGTGCTGTTCCCCTCTTTTCCCCAGGCTGGGATGGGTAATGTCTGACCTACTAACCTCATACCAAGTATGGCCAGTAGTAAAGGACGATGGACATTGCAGTCCAACAATATCTAGAGAAGTGATTCTCAGCGGGGGCCACACCATATTTCTAGGGAGCCACCCAAACGTAACTGTCAGGGGTATCAGGACCTTTTTTTTCAAGCTAACAGCAACTATGAGTGGAATCACAGAAGTCAGTGAGGCTCAAAAGGGGACCTTAAGCAAAAAAGGTTGAGAACCCCTGATCTAGAGGAACAAGTATTGCCACCTTGACTCTAATGTGGTCAAACTAATCTATGAATGTCTCCCTTCCCCTCCTCTACCTCTAATTTTCATGCCAATCCTGTGAGGTAGGTTTGGCTGAGAGAACATGCTGGAGTCCTGTTATTCAGTGATCTTCGTGGCTGAACGAGGATGGAACTTGAGATAATGCAGTCTTAACTATGTACAACCTGTTCGGTAGAATGATATGTAAGAATCCAAGGGGAAAAAATTGCTGTTTCACAAAGTGCAGAAATATTTAGATGTCTGTATGTCACAGATGGAAGGCTTGAATTTTGTTTTGCTGCTAAACACGCTCATTCTTCGTTTTCGGTGTTTCTGCTATACAGCACAGCACAAAACCATTTTAATGTACAGTCCCTTCTCTTGGCTGGCTCTTCTTACCTACAGGGCGGACCAGTTTGAATACGTGATGTATGGGAAGGTGTACAGGATTGAGGGTGATGAGACGTCAACAGAAGCAGCCACACGCCTGTAAGTGTCCTCTTCTGAAATAGGTTGATGAGTGATCGTGTTTTGACATCACACAAAGCCATAATTTGATTGGTTTGGTTTTGGCTGAGGATGTTGTGTGAACCTTGCCAGCGATATTTAGTAAGCCAATCATGGTTAAGCACAGCGGCTTAGCACAGCGAGTGAATCCAGCCGGTACTACTTCATCACTTGGCCATCAAGCAAAAGCTTCAGGAGTAGATAGCTGGCCAACTTCACTCCCTTGTACTCCCTCCACCGAAGGAATTTTCCACAAATTGTCTTGCCTGCAAGTAACCAGCCAAGGCAGCAGACGTGTACAGTTGCCTGGAGTAGGGACTTCTCAAGCTGCATTAGCCTTTCTGAGCTTATGAGTCCTGTCTGTTTTTAGATGGTACTTTTGCTCATAGTCTAAAGCCATAAGCCATGGCTTGACATGCTAGAACCAAACAATCTGCATTATGGCTTAGAGTAATGTGTGACCCATCCAGTTGGGTAAGAACATCCATGAAGAAGATTCTACTTTTTGCATCTTCAGTTAAATAAAGGGTCAGATTGCAGATAATGGGAAAGGCTGACTGTGGAAGATGCTATCCCTAACCTGATACTTGCCACATTGCTGGGTCTTCAGCTCCCTTATTTCCTAGGTAGTATGACTAGGGGATGGCTAAATTTTACAGAGGTGATACCCAACACCTCTGGAGGACACAAGATTGAAGAACAGTGCTCTAAAAGGCTGCATGGCAGAGGACAGCCTGTATGATGATGGGGCATGTAGCATGATCTAGCGTATGGCAGCATGATCTACGCAGGAAGTTTTGTTTCTGCCCTTGCAGCTGGGAGGAGGCTGCCTCCTCTATCTCACCCTTCTCTCCCCTCCTCCAGCTCTGCCTATGTCTCCTACGGTGGCCTGCTCATGAGACTCCAGGGAGATGCCAACAACTTGCATGGCTTTGAAGTAGATTCAAGGGTCTACCTCCTGATGAAGAAATTAGCCTTCTGACCAGCTTCCACTGCCAAACGGTTGGAGGCTGTCTTAGCAGCTCAGACGTTATGGAAGATAACATGGATCTGCTGCTTCCTCTGCCTCCCCCAGAAGCGTACGGACTGAAGCTTGGCAGTGAATCAGAAGCATCCTTCAAATGTTCTCCACCATCTGAGCAGCCACAAGGAGGACATTTTATCTCCATAACATTTGCCTAGTGCCCCTTGCAGTTAGGAAGTAGATCCCAAGCTGCATGGCAGCATTCCTCCTTAAGCGGAGGAGCAACATTTCCTGGTGCTGGAAACTATAGGGCTCTGATGAGCCACTCTGTTTACAATGCAGGAAGGTCATTTTTCTACAAATGCAACACTGCCACTTCTGGTGAGCTGAGGCCATTTTCTCTGATGTTTTAATTGAAACCATAAAGAGAGGTCGCTTCTGAGTCAGACTCCTACAGGTCGATCTTTGCTTTTTTTTTTTTTTAAACCTCAAATAAACATTTTGGATTTTCATGGTTGTCTGGATTTCAGCATAAGACAAGTTGTCAGATCTACCTGTACACAGGATAGCAGCTCCCGTATCTCTTTTATTAACATAGATAACCATATCCTTAACATATCCTTAACAGTCCCCTATTTATTAACAGGATAACCATATCCTTAACAATAACCAATCCTTAATCTTCTCACAGCTTTCCCCAGTTTTCTGTTGATCGTGCAGATTGACTAAGAAAGCCGCTCGGGTGCCCTTCAGATGCTTGGGACTTCTGTGCTCATCAGCCACAGCTCCCATGGCCAACAGGAAAGGATCGTGGGAGCCAAGGTGGTATGGTGGTTAAGCTGTTGAATGTGGGACCAAGGAGACTTGGGTTCAAGTCCTTGAGCAAAGAGTTCAAGAAAGACTTGGAGACAGTTTGTCTCTCAGGTCAATTATTCTCACAGGGTAGTAAAGATACAATGGAGAAAGTTCCTATCACGTTTGCTGTTTTAAAATGTCAAAGGAAAAGTGAGATAGAAATGTGTGGCAATGATTTTTTTTTTTTTATGAAGTTGTCTCAAGGACCTGTATCTGAAAAGGTCTCCTTTTATGCTGGTTGGGGATGGCAGGAATTATAATACAGCCAATGGAGATGATGTCATATTATAGAAAGCTGGTTTATGATCTTGGTACACAAGCAAGAAAAAGGGTAAGCTTCACAAGTGTATAATTCTCCCAAAGCTTTTTACAACATGTGTCACTGCCGAAGCAGCAATAAGAGTTCAGTACCCTGTTTATCCTCCCAGGTCTTGATATGCTGATTAAATATATATCCCATCATATTTATTTTTTAAAAAATTGAATAAGGTCATTACTGATCTTGCTTCATGTAACAGCAATAATAGCAGGTTTCGTTCCTTCCTCGCTGGCCCCCTGATCGATACCTGGTTGGGATGTCACTCCTGGGGAGAATTATGGGCTGGAACCACATGCACCTGAATTGTATTTACTTTGCAACATGGGGGGGGGGTTCCTCCCACACAGAGTCTGCTGATAAAAGCCATCCATTCTGCTTTACTCACAGCTCTGAGCACAGCTTTGCAGGAGGGGAGGACAAGTGGAGCAGAAGGAAAACCCAAAGTTTTGGATACTTTGCCCCAAATTATCCAAATAAGCTATGGGTCCTTAATCAGAAACACTCCACTGCTCCTTTCCTGCCCCCTGAGGCAGCTTCTTGGTATAAAGTGAAGACATCCAAGCAAAATTTTGCCACCCAACTCTCAAGTTCATTGGCACCTCCAAATGTTACTGCCTAGATGTGGTTTTCATAATTCACTCAAATGGGGTCCACAGGCAGGAAGATAGAGCTGGAATCGGGATCGATAGCTTGCCAAGAGATGCTCTGGGTTTCACTTCTGGTCTTTGAAAAAATCCCAGTGTATATTTGCATTTTTTTAAAAATCCTGGGGTTCAGCTATAAAAATAAGGGGGACCTTGTAGAGGTTCTGTTCCAAGGCCCAAAATATCTTCTTCCCCCTGAATGAGTAGTTAATAAGATAATAATCTCTCATTATGAAGACGAGGTTGGTGTATAAGATAAGCTATCAAGAGATTGGGGTCACTAAGCTGACTCTGACTTGATGGCGCAGAATCAATCAAGCAAAATGGGCTGAATATACTCATCTTCTCCACCGCGTTTCCATAGAGTTCATTGGAGCTGCTTATTCCAAACGGCCACCAACCAGACCAGATGAGAAGGACGCTGAGGCTTTGATTCCCTTAAGGGTAGAATCAGACTTGCTCAACTCTGTAAGCCTTGGGTTGGGTTGGGTTGGGTTGGGGTTTTGCAGGCACCTAAAGCAAGCTGGTACTAAATGCAGAGGACTGGGACCTCCAGGTCATCACAACACCCCCTTTTTCTCCCTCACATGTTGGCCCCAAGGCTTCCCACTCCGAGGATTTGGTCAGCCCTGCTTTTCCACCCCTGGCTTTCAGGTGGCCTTTTCCTCCGATGGCTGAACTACGGATGTCTCAAGCCAGCCACCTGCAGGATTACTCACTGCCCACTTGATGCGACCAAATGGGGAAGGTGCTGAGGAGGGATGGCAGCCCCATATTGATGGCCCTCAGCACAGGAGTCTTTCCAGAGGTCATAGAAGAGGAAGTTCAGTTTCCCTCGCAAGAGCTGCACGTAGGTCCAGAAGACAGTCCTAAGGTTCCTCGTTGAAATCAGGGCAGGTACACTTTCTGGCTGCATAGTTGTGCTCTGTTCCTAGGGCAAGAAAAGAAAACAGTCGTGCTGCCTGTTGAGCAACCTTTGCGTGGCCAGGAGCTGAAAGGTGGCTGGGCCAGATGGAATGCTCCATTGCTCTAGCACAGGTTTTCAAACATGGCAACTTTAATATGTGTGGACTTCAACTCCCAGAATTCCCCAGCCAGCATGCTGGCTAGGGGATTCTGGGAGT